GAGGCCGCCGGTTCAAATCGCCATTGGACGCCTTGTACTTGCTCGGTGCGCCATAAAAGACGTCGGAATGATCAGAAATGGCGGAATCAGAGCGTAACGACGCTGTCCCGTCTCACTCACAAGTTGCGTCGCACGCACTTTACGCAAGCGACCGGCGGATAAGGACACACCTTGCGTGCTCGAAGACGATGGGGTACCACGGTAGATGGGACAACTTACTGTTTAAGTAACATTGTCAAGTACTTGTTTGTTTATCGATAGAAAATGATTTATTTATACTACATGTTATAAAATATCAAAAGAGAAATTTAAGAGAGAGAGAGAGAGAAACAGAAAAAGAGAAAATACCTTCTTTGTTGTTGAAATATAATGTAACGAAAACTACATAATTTTCTCTAGATACCATACTTTCAATTTTATCACTTTAATAATACATATATTTCTTTTGCAAATTTTCACAAGTAGGCGTATTTCAATTTAAAATTTAAAATGTCAAATTCTAAATTAGAATTTAGAATGTTAACTTCTAAATTCTAATCATACTTTACGTATAATTATGAATTAATTATATACAATTGTAGTTCAAATCGATACTTTTTTCACTCCTTGACAAATTAAAATATCAATAAAATATTAATAACAAAAATTTTTCGCACAGTTTTTGTCGAACTAAGTTAGACTAAGACGCAGATAGATAACACAAAACCATCTCCTTCCGTTAATCTCAAATGAACTTTGAGATAAATCTCATTTAAGTTAAAATCTCATTTTAATCATAACATTTTACGTTAAAACTTTATTATGCAAAGTTGCATAAAAGTGCTTTCCAATTATGATTTTATTAAGGAAACGTCGTTCTTTAAAATGTCATCGGGAAAATTTTCTGTCAATACTTTATACAAGTTCCATATGAAATATCATGTATTCTTATTCAGACGTATTCTCATTCTCGCACTTCATTTGAAATAGCGCCGATACTTCCAGCGACAATAATCGTTGTCCTAGTTTGCATAACGCATGGCTAAGACGCAATAAGGTCGCCAAGTAAAATGCATAACTTGCCACTACGCGTCTAAAGATGCTAAAGGAAGGAAAGTAATAGCCGTGCAAACACGATTATGCAAAATCTTTCCTATAAATACGGACGGAACATGTCACCCGGTAATTTCGTGTCGGTCGATAAAATGCGGTGGAGGAGGCTTGCAAATTATGTAAGGTCGCGGTGTACTTGAATCCAGGTGTAACATCTGCCTTCAAGGTTCCGCTGTACATACGCTTTTGTGTACAAATAATTGCTACACGAATATGCGACGCATTTGCAACGCTTTTAATTATGACGCATTCCTTAGATATTTACATATTTATTGACAAATAATTTAATAATCGCAAAAATTACGTTTTTCCTTTAAATAATGCGATTAAGTTAATCTTATTGCGATGGAATGTTTCGGTAGTTTTCAATAAAATAATAAGATTGAAATCCGTATAAAAATGCATTTTGTATGTATATTCTAAAACAAACATTTCATATATTATATATGTATATTATATTATAGCCTCTCTCTTCTTCATTGAAAATAATATAATATTCGAAATCTTTTGGAACCAGTATAACCAGTTCTGAGGCCATTGTCTCTTGATACACTTGCATTTTTATTTAAATATCTGTCGATCAGAAATAATGTAATTAGTGAAAAGTATCAATGCCTGATCTAACTTGATAAAACTTGTATCTGAAAGAAGGAGAGAAGTAGAGAGAGGTCGCGAAAGAAAAAACGCCTAATGACAGAGAGGGATATTTTAAGACACCGCGACCGGTTTGTGCAGAGGCATAAAGAGGCTTGCCTATATCCCTGTTCCGAGTGATCCGTCTTGACGACCCGAAATTTTTCGGAACGCGGCACACTCGAGTTCCATTCGCGCCAGAAATGGCGCCGAAGAAAGAGAAACGCGTCGGACGATTTGCGTCGAGAATAATGTTTCTTTGTTTCCCCAGCACGATATAGTAATAGAAATACTTAATTCTTCGAATAATATATAAATGAATAAAATATATTTTAAGTATTCTAGATAATCTTTTACCTAATTTTTGATATTTTAATTATTAATGTATTTGAGATAAAGAATAATTCTAGGTAAGATTAAAAAAAATTGTGTAGATAAAATTTATTATCATATTATTGAAAGTAAAAATAATCCTTTGATATTTAGAGCGATTGTTATTACTCATCATTAATTCTATAAATTCTTATTAATAGTGAATTTTTATAAATTCTTAATACAAAACAAGAGACCGACCAACTTTTCGAAGTTTAAACCAATCTTGCCATTAATGTTAACAACGATAGCGCTGACAGCGGGATTCGTAATGAAGCGTACGAGATGACATATGACAAAAGTTATCAGCAAGTTACGTTGATTAAATAACACAAACATCGGTATCAGATGATGTTAACAACATAGACGTGTAGTGTTGACAGTCTAAGGCACGAAATAAAAGATTCGAATGAATTCTGAGTAATGTTTCCGGTTTTGATATATAGAAAGAAATTATGTATATTAAGAATTGTATATTTATGTATGTGTGTATAATTTCCAAAAAGAATAAAATGTTTCGCTTTTAGGCTTCACCGTTTCTTTAGAGATTTAAGTATACCTTAAAAAGGTGTAAATTTGAAGATATGCAATAAGTAAAAATATAAAAAATCTGTACTATGAATAAACAATTTCATTAAATACATATCGCTAAACAATAAATTTCTTTTTTTAATTGATCAATTAAAAATTGATAAACAAAATTATAATTAAATAAAGATAGATGATTTCAGCATAATAACAGTTGAATTCAGTTTTTGAGAGCAGAAAGAGATAATCTAAACATAAAATTCGAATTGTAGGAAAAATCGATTCATATTTATTACATCCTCTTTAAAAGCAGTGATTTACACCACTTGAGAAAGAAATTCCCCAATTGACTCAACGATTGAAATGAAATCTATCTTTTCAAACAATATCTATACTTTTCGAGATTTGCGACTACCCGGAAAATTGATATATCATGTAATGCATTTGAATTACATAACGCAATTAAGATCGAAACTTTCTACATTACTCACTAAGCACGTCCATCGGAATGATCATCCGGTTCCGCCAGCTTGGATAGGATTTTATGGCAAATTGTGAAGGGGCAAACCAACGCTGATTTTTCGCGATGACTTCCGCGAATAAGTCTTTCGTAGAGAAATCGCGAAATTGCAATGCAATGAGCAGGACTTTCATAAAATGTTCCCAGAGACATTGTTCGGGGAAAAATATTAAAGTATCGCGAAAATTTCATTTTCCTCAAAATAAAAATGTCACATTACTTCCAGCTGGAATACTGTGAAAACAAGATGACGCCAGAATTTAATCTTGACCTAAATCGAACCCTCGATAATCTTATTTATTTTTGTCCCGCATTTAATTTCCCTGTCGTGTGTTTTCCATTTGAAATATCTTGCTGTTTTCACCGATAATATTTTTCACTCTAAAACGTACAGCAAACAAGTTCTTTGTCTCTTCTGTTAAAAAGACTGTGTTTTATGGAGAGAGAGAGAGAAAAACAGACTGTGTTTAAATATTTGTACTTAAAGATCTTAAATAAAGTTTTGGTTAAGTATGATTCAAACTGTTTGAGCTAAAAAAAACTTTATAATTCTTTGTCTTCCGGCTAATATTTTATTGATGCTCTCGGAATCTCGTTTATATGCGATTTCTGCGTCGTATCGACCGCGAATAATCATTATTTTCGCAAAATACTGTGGCCGTTACAAAGAACTGTTATCTGAAACGATAATGTTCTCTCGTCTGGTGAACGACAAAAGATTTCCGCGAGCCCGGATTATGACTTCAACGCCATCGTCATCCCATAATATTTACCTAAACGGCACGCGTTTATTCGCGTCTTTTCACTCAAAATCGATTCCACGTGTCGGATGCTTATGGTATACCAACGTACAATAAAAGATAACGATATAATCTAAAATGAGTTAACAGCCGTTTTCGCGAGCTATTTATATCCATGTAATGACAATTTAAAATCATTTAATGTATTATTATTATTAACTCTGCGTATCATGGCATCTAAAAGTATTCGGGGCGATACAAATTAATTGTGATATCACAAAAGTTTACGAGACGTGAAAGTTAAAAAATGGTCATTTGAAGGCGTCGAAATGGAAGGTGGAAGGCGTAATTTTCACCGCGAATTATTGGACATTATTGAGAATTAATTAAACATCCAGATTGCATCGTTATCTTAATCGTCATTTTCGCCAGTATGTTGGAGGCCAGCCAGGAACATACAAATATATCATTGCGAAAGTTACCGCGAGAATTGGGCATTAATATTTGGGATTATCGCATGTACCGGTCGTTATGGCGTTTTAAAGTATCGCTTACTTGTACTTTGCGCAAGTTTTCTCGAGCAACGCGAGACATGTTTTTACGACTCCGCGCCGATCGCTTAATGATTATTAATTGCAATTGATGTACGAATAAATCGTACCGAAAGATTAACAGTGAAATTTATTTGCCAAATAATTAAGCGACATAAATATAAAAACGAATTATGCCGAAATTTATATTCCCCATCACGTCGCGAATTCCTTCTCTCTCTCTCTCTCTCTCTCTCTCTCTCTCTCTCTCTCTCTCATTCAATGTACTGATGTGATGTTATCGAGAATACGATACATTGTATCGAAAGTATCTTTAATATATTTATGGCACTTAATTCAAACATGGTTCATTCAGTTTGTTGTACTTCGACAAGAATTTTCTTTTCTGAGAATTTACATGTCTCATTTTCGCTTACCTCAGTTATCAGTCTTTCAAGACGTAAATTTCACCAGACTCACCGGGAGATTGCTGTACAATGGGTAAGTACGTGGTCATTCGCAAAACAGCGGGTACTCACGTATGCGCGCAGCAGTTTCGGATTGTAAGGCAATCGCAATAAATACCTGACGACCGAGTCCGGTACGAAGATGTTCCACCAGGATGGCCTCTTCTGTCGCGGATAACTCTGCGAATAAAGTCCCTCCGTGCTGCCGGAATCCGAGGGAATGCCGGACACGCCCTTCCTCCTTTTGCGATCCAGCTTGGGAGGCTTCACGAGCGGATGCCAGGACTTCCGGCGTCCCTTCTTGGCCTCTTGGGCCACGCGGTCACGGTCCTCGTTTTCCAACACCTCCTGATTCTCCTCAAGCAGATCCTCCGATACGTAGAACACCGAGCCTCTCCTACCGCCGTTGCTGTCGCTGCTCCTCCTCTTGTCCTTCGACTTATCCTTCGCGTTGCCATCCTTGACGTCACTCTTGACGCCGTCCTTAACATTGTCCTTGGCGCTATTCTCCTTCTCCTCGAACAGACTGACCCTACGGGCCCTCTGCATGAGACTGTCTCGTCGTGCCTTCAGATCTTCCAGAACGCTGTGCCGGCGGGTCTTCGTGTCGCGCAGGATCGCCACATTCTCGCGCTGCTTCCCGACGGCGCCGAGGATCCTCGCCAGCGACGACTCCTGCTCCATCATCGCCGGGATGGAGTTGGTCGAGGCGAACTTGGTGGTCGTGTGACCGTTCTGCGGCTCGCTGATGTACATCTTGGCTGTTTCCATGCTAACTGGAATGGCCACGTCGTCCATATGACGAGCAATTCACAATCGCGTATCGCGCATCGCCAGAGATCGTCGGAAATGTCGAGTTGGTATCTTGCGTATCGAGGTCACCGAGGGTCAGAGCTCGCGTCCGGATTAAGTATTTACTGGCTGTATACACCGAGCCGACCGTTGTGAAAGACTCTTGGCTGGCTCTTCTCCGTTGATATCGCTAACGTCGGGTTAACGTCTTATACAGCAGCAAGATACTGTTGGAAAATCGTCGGACGAGGATAAAATAATTGCATCGAATGGATCGCTGCTTTCTGCGAAGTCGTTAATGTCTTACGCCAGAAAGATCGTCGAGGGATCTCGAGAGACGGTGTACAAAATATATGTATAAGGTATCTCGCTGATCCTGCGAAACGAACTATCGAAGAATGCGGCGGATGTGGTCTCGGTGTCGTTGACCGAATAATTTACAGTGAACAAGCCGTCGGCGATTACGCCCGTTCACGATTAGATATGTATCCACGAATTGAGTGAACACCAAGATTCCAAGTATCCTCGGGCAAAGACGCGCCACGAGAGTCGACCGCCACGATCTTTTTCGCCGCTGTCTATTTAATATTACACACCGGCGCGGCGGCGGGGGGCGGCGGCGGCGGCGAGGCCGTCGAAGGTTACGTTGCGGTGTCCGCGAATTCCAAAGCGCCGCAGAGGGAATAGACACTCTCGACGCTTGTCGATTTGGCTTATCGCGCTATACCTGCAAATCGTGCGGACGCTCCGATCCGCTACCTGCATGCGCGATAAGACGCGCGATTTCTCGCGCCGGTTGCGCCAATTTCGACGAGCCAATTTTCACACCTCCTCTAATCGCAGACGATCCCCGATGTGAAGGAATGCTATCCGGTGATGAATTATCGACGACTTTGCGGCTGCCGTCGTTTCTCACAGAGAGATAAGAGACAGAGACGAAAGTACGAAGCGGTAAAGCGCGATCAGCGGCATTATTCCACCGGCGCGCGGCGCGGCTCGTCGCGGTGAAAGCAGCCGAACGGTCGACCGCCTTTTCACTCCCGACGCCGACGACGCCGTCGACGCGGTCACTCTCGTGAAACGCGTATAGTGCTAACCACGTAGGAGTACGCCGATGCGTGTGCGTGTGCGCTCCGATCGACGCCCGGATACGCCCGTGCAGGGGAGGAGAACAACGTCGGGATCTGCGCGATCGTTGACCCAACTCTGAGAGATCCGCGGTTTATTTTTATATTTTTATTTATTTATTCCTTTGTATACCCCCGCCGACCCCTGGCTGGCGCGAAACGCTCCGTTTTTACACCATCCAGCGATCGATCAACGAGTTTCGCCTCGTTCTTCAGAAACGGAAGACTGAATTTTTCTGTACAAGCACGAACTTTTGCTTCTCAATTCGGCGATATTCTCGAAACTATTTAGATCTGGTTCCGTCTTTACCTCGACTCGATCAGCCCTCACCTGCCGAGGGCAGCAGAGACGAGACTTGGTTGTTGTTTCGCATCGTGCATCGGCGACGAGAACGCGAGAAAATTCTGAGGAGACCTTTCTCTCTCCTCGAATCTCTCTTTTCCTCTCCTCTCTCTTTATATCTTCTCAAATATAAATAACTATTCCTCTTTCCCGTACGCTTCTTTCCGAACACACGCGCGCTTAAAACGTCGCGGCGCGGCGCGGAACCGAGCAAAGATAGAGCGTCGCGCTCTTCCTCGCGTCCTTTTTCTTCCCCTTCGAGACTCGCTCTCGTTATCAAACAGCACGGCACGCACGCACGTACGCCACGCACACGCACGCACGCAATACACGTCGAAAGCGTAAATAAAGAAAATACGCGGGGAGAACGAGGCCTGCTAGTGCGGATCGAGAGGCGCGCTCGATCAACAGCCGTCACGTGAATCGGGTATCGCAGCAACTAAGCGCGAGCGAACGCGACCGCTTGTATTTATACGCGTGCCGTATTGCCCGTCTCGGCAAGACTATCTCTCTCTTTCGCGGCGCATCCCCCACCCTGAGTCGCGACGGACGCGTGTATGTACGAGAGGATAACGCACGAGAGCGGGCCGATCCTGATTCTCGTTTCGGCTCCAGAAGAAACCTGTACACGATCACGGGGGTATATAGTCAAGATGATGCTACAAATGTTTTGAAGTTTTTCCGATTGGTCAATTTGTCAAATTCCTCACGGAAAGAACAATTTTGCTGCATGAATCCAGAGTTGAAAATAATTTTTGTTTAATAATCAAAATAATTTTGTGCAAAAGTCAAAGTGATTGCTAGAATATCAAAACGTTTTATAGTAATGCTTATCAGTTTTAACATTCCAACAAATTATTTTGATGATTCAACAAAAAATTATTTTCAAATCTGTCTTGAGCAAACTTTTTAGATCTTTCAACAAAATCGTTCTTTCCGTGTGCGAAAGTCAAAATAATTACTAGAATATCAAAACATTTTAACGCTTATCAGTTTCAACATTCCAACAAATTATTTTGATGATTTAACAAAAAATTGTTTTCAGATCTGTATTCAGCAAAATTTTTAGACCTTTCAACAAAATCGTTCTTTCCGTGTTGTTCTGATTGGTCAATCAAATGCTTCAAAGTATTTGTAGCATCATCTTGACCGTACTCACACGGTCGCTCGTTTATAAGATTCTTTGATCCGCGATAAAACAGCGCATAAATAAATTTTTTTTAAAAACGTTTTCATAAAAACGTCAGAAAACGTCGTCTAAATTTTATAAACGTTTCCTTCTTTATATCTTTCACGGATCTAGGGTGTGAGTATTTCGAAGCGTAGAAGCGTTAATATGCCACGTTATTAACGATAAACGTGCCTATTTTAGGATTTATCTCTTTTCCACGAAGGTCGCGAGCAACATTAATTTAAGTTTAGATACATACGGTCATTTAGCGCGAAATGTGCGATATAAACATAAGCCGTTAAATATTATGCTTCTCGAAAGGCACAGAACGGTAAGAAAATTTAATTGCTTTGTGGACTTGCATGTGTTCTCAGAGCCGCGTTAAAATAGGACGAGTACGTTACACAAAAATCAGTAGACTCGTCGAGCAACAATTTGAGTAAATTAAATTTAAAATAAATTATTTGGTAGATTAAATTTAAATTAAACTACATATTTAATAAATTAAGTTTAAAATAAATACTGTGCCTCATTCAAAGCCATCCAAAGCCGCTATACATATAACATTGGTTTGAAAATAATATATGGTTTCTACATCATTTATATATAAATTTTAAAACACGGAAAAAACAATTTTGCTAAATCCAGATCTGAATATTATTTTTGTTCAATAATCAAAATAATTTTCTGCGAAAGTCAAAATGATTGCTAGAATATCAAAACGTTTTATAGCAAAACTTATCATTTTAATATTCCAATAAATTATTTTGATGATTCAACAAAAAATTATTTTCAGATCTGTTTTCAACAAAATTTTTAGACCTTTCAACAAAATCGTTTTTTCCGTGAAAAAAAAGATATCAAATTTTTCTCATAGAAAATCTTCTTTCATAGAAGAATGTAAGAAATATAATTATAAATGTCATTTCAAAATCTGATTCAGAATAGAATCAGAATCACACATTTTAAGGTATGATCTATTTTTATAATTAACCATAGAATAAACAATTTATGATCCATATAGATTAAGTTTTAAGATGTCCGCAAATAGATTTCAAACTTTTTTAACGTTGTGATCATATCTCGTGGCATTATTTTTTCTGTAATCTTTTTCAGGTGGTTTTAAATTTGTATACATATATCGAGGACCTTAAAATTACGTCGTCCATCTTAACGAGATAATCTGTAATCGAGTTAATCAATTTGATAGTAGTCCATCCGAGAACGATAAAATGAGGTAAGAGATAATAACGGTATGATCAATCAGTAACAAGATTGTATATCGATAATTTCGTTGAAATTATTGTTGCGTGAGAAATATCACTAATTGATTTCTAGAGAGAAAAAGCGCGATATGATTGCATCATTTCACGATATCTTCATAATATATAACATTTGACTTTGCAAGTTTGAGGAGAGATGTGCTTACTTCGATTTCAGATTGAAAGTATCACAGATAAAAAATATCACTGAAATAAATATATTTGCTTGTAATATTTATACGATATAATCTAACACATGTGCTGTCATCACATGTTAATACAATCTCTTATTACCTTCTCAGGAATGATAAGATTATAATTGATAATAATGATAACGGTTGTAAAACTCACGGTGTATCTGTCTAAAAGTGAGATAAACAATAACTTGTAACTTATTCGAAGGATAAACAATTAAAGCGGAAAAGTTTGTATAAATGGCGAGTCAATTAATTGCAACGTATCTTGCTACTTGGAGGGATAGGAAAAAAAACATCGAGAAAAGAAATGGAAAAGTATATTCCAAGAATCTCGATCGCATCCGGGTATCGACGTTCGAGTGCCCCGATATATTCCTAGATATCGCGCTCAAGCGGTCACTTGAAATTGATTACGCAATTCGCAATATCGGACTGCCATTTAATTTCACGGTCGGCCGCGAGATATTTTTTTCCGGCGATCGCCATACATCTTGGCGCCCCGCGCTCGATCTTGACCCGGTTCTGGACCAACAAGAGAACGACCACACCCGCTTGTTTATTCGGTGTTTACTTAGATTTACTTGCAGGGACTGCTGCATCCTGGGACACGAACCGTGCCAATATATATAGTTCTCATGGGTTGTAAATAAATGAACATGTACCCCTTCCCCCAATATGTACATTCCGCGTTTAAATAAACTTCTCTCTTTCATACTCTTTTTACATGCATCTTATCAAAATATAAGTGATTTTATTATCTTATGCCTGAAAACTTTATTTTTATTTATGTTATACCTACAGCCATATTATTTTGTTGATGTTGCACTGTATTATTCACTATATAATACATATATTTTTATTATATAAATATTTAATTATCGTTAAAAGTTTAACGTAAATATCTTAGTATCTAAGTTATCTTAGTATGTAAGTAAATATCTTAGAATCTTCGAAGAAATTAAATCGACTGCTATATACATATATATTATCAATGTTGGTAAGTTTGGCCAACTTTACACTCTAGTTACGCTGGTATATCGTCAAGGCACAGCATCCCCTTTTATTTGCTTTTTGTCTTGTAAGAATTAAATTAAATAGAGCAAGAAAGAGAAATTACGTAAAAGTACGGTGAAATTTACAGTTCCGCAAATTAACTGCTTTCCATTGCACTAATTAGAAAAAAAACTTTGACGTAACTTCTGTCAGATATCAGATGAAAAATAAACTTTAGGAGAAACAGCTTTTTATTTACTAGATTAAACTGTCAATTGTACAAAGAAACAATTTACAAGGATACTCTTGTGAAACCAAGAGTTCGCTGTACCTTCTACAACACATGTATTTATATATCTCGTATTTTTTTATTAAAGTTTTATTTTAATTATAATTCAAACCTGTTTTCGAGAAAGAATCCGAGAGAAGAAAAACTTTATTAGTCGACTTTTGGGTGATAGCGGCAGTTTGCAATGCTTCGTAAATGCTTGCCAGGCGCAAGAAGGACATCGTCTTGGAGAGAACAAAGAGCGACGTTGTTTGCTGAAGAAATTTTCTCAACGAACGAGGAGCAAGAAGCGTATTCGGTCGCCACGGGCGGCGGGGAGAGGGCTCTAATTGGCTGAATCAAATTAAGAGTCCGACTGGATATTTTCATCGTTGCCAGTTTCGTAATTGGATACGCGGCCGAATTGACCAATTGTTTGCACCGCTGCTGGACATCCATCCGCCTGCCTCGTTAATCGGAGCCTTCGTTAGGAATGCGCGGACGCACGACGGAAACTTCGTCTCGGTGAGCGAGCGACAGGGCGGAAATGTGGAAACGGGTGTAAGTGTCTCCTCGTGGCGGCCTTGTAGTTAGACAGCTGATCGCGCAGTGACATTCCCACGCCTGACGATCGATCGTCGTGCGCGTGCGAAAGCGCGAGGTAAACTCGCGAGACGACTCGAAAATTATTTCCAAACAAATCCGTCATAGAGAAAACTTAGTTTAAAAGTAATCTTATATTTAGTTTGATGTCGAGTTTTCCTTACACACAACACACACAAAAGACGAAGTATTATAATTATATACATAGTATGTATATAATTAGTACTTTATATACAATAAATATGTATATAATTAGTATTTTATATACAATAAATACACAGCGAGCATATAAATCAGGAGACACGGTAGTGGCTTGGTGTCAAGTGTTTAAAAAATTATAAATATTAATATCTTATACAGTATATATCTTATTTAAGTCTAAAACAAAAATCCTTTCATAATTTATCGCGATTTTCAACACTTATTATTAAATAGTTCGAAAATTCTTAAATTTATAAAAAGTAAAAAATTAAAATTTTTTCAAGTTAATGCGAATTAAAATTCCATTGAAATAAAATTTTCTTTTAATTAAATGAATTGTATCCTTAATTACGTGAAATGTCTAACTTTTATGGTAGTTATAAAATCATTAAAAGATTATGTTAGATTTTAGAAATTCTTTGAAGTCTCTAAAGTCTCACAGTTTAATCGAGTCCAACAGAAAAAAATATTAGGAATGCTGTTATCTTTGCTAAATGTACTCATTGAGACTACTACTCGCGGAAAAGTGTTTCACAGTGATGGAATAATTTCGCACGTTAGAGTTGAGTCTCAATTAACCGAGGTACACTTTATCAGACACGTATTTGTCGTCGGATTTACGTATCGTGAAACAGGTTTACGATATGGCTACCGAAATCATAAACGAGACTAACTTCTTTTCTTTTGAGACACGACGAAAGCAAACCGCTTCCTTTTCGTTTCAACAAAAAGATTTTCGGTGCTAATACGAAATTTTTACAATCGGGACAATAAATTTTGTCAACGTTCTTGATAATTGATAGTATTAATGGACAAGAGCGTTAATAATTGATAACTCGAAGGTTTTTTAAAAAGGAGCAATTATTCATTTAAATAATATATTCTGATTATAATGAAGCGCTGTAATATTTAAAGATTATTTTTATCATATTCTACACGATGATGCAAATAAAATTCTGATAAATTACCCATTCGCATTATATAGACAATAAATCGAATAAAAAATTCCGCCTTCTGTATTCAAACTTTTCTTGATTAATTCCGAGT